GCAATAAAATGTGGATTTAGAATATCAAAGGCAAATGTAAAAACATTGTTTAATAGGTGGTAACGTCAAGTTTATTCATTTACATGTTTATTTGTTAATTAGAAAAATTTTTTGTAGCCAAGGATATAAATTTTATTGTTATAAATGAACAAAACCTGAGCTATACTTGAAAAACCCAACCGGATCTAGTAGTTTCAAAACTTGTTTATTGATTGCTTGTGATTTCCAGGTTATCTTTAGCAGTTAAAACTTACTTCCACAAACAGAATTGTAATACAGTACCCAATTATACTTTATAACATTTATGTTTTTGCTCTAATGTATAACATTTTAAGCATAAAATGTTTACATTATTTCCATTTTAGTGTAATAAAACAGATGATCCTTTAAAATTAGAAGCAGAGATGGAATCAAAAGAGTCAAACCAGCCTAAAAAGAAGCTTACTCCTTGGAGACATCAAAGGCTTGGGTATGTATTTTATAAGAAAAATGTCATGGTATTTAGAAGATCAACATGGTGAAATATTTACTCTCCTTTCATTTCTGTTAGGAAGGTGAATTCTGAATATAGGGCAAAATTTCTGAGCCCAGCCCAGTATTTATACAAAGCCGGGGCTTGGACCCGTGTGAAGGAAAACATACCAGATCAGGTGAGTATACATAAGCTCAGTATGCCCATGTTTTCTTTGAGCCTGTATCCCAGTTTAATGCCACAATGAGTTTCATTTAGTAATAGAGACTACAGTTTAAAGATATGTGATATAATAGTAACATTGGAAGTATCAGGAGCTTAAAGTTGTATGTTAGGATATAATTTATCAGTGTGTTTACTGTTTTTTTTAATATCAAATAGCTCCTTTTTCAACTGGAGATTTTTATTATTAAAGTCTTTAAAATGTTTTTTTTTTTATAATCCAGTATTTCATTATGTTTGTAGAATTGTAGCGTTGTAGTTTTGAAAATAAGATCCAGACCTCTACTCTCTCAACTGAAGATAAATTTTCAAGATTAGTTTGACCGTGGCGTCCACTGGCAGTTTGTACTATTAGAGTCCATCAGTATCTGGGAGGGGTGGCCTGTGCTGAGAGAGGTTTGCATTATAGTGTTGGGGTACCCTGACATATGGGAGCAATTCTGAGGACCTAAAGGAAGGTTTGAGGGAAAGGGTAATCCTAGAATTGGGAAGTGCCTGTTCAGCACTAGCTTCTTACAGTCAAAGGATGAACTATGGAGCTTTTCTGGTTATTGTACAATTACCAGCTTTTAAACCACATCTTGATGGTTTCCTGTTTTTTTTCTGTGTGAATAAGCAAACGTAAAATAGTGTAGACTTCAGTAAACACCCCCTCTCCCATCATTGGGAAGAGAGAGATCATTTGGGTGGGGAATGAATCTTTTATTCAGCCCCGTACTTGAAACCATGGCTAATGGTTATATGTAATGAGCCTCTGGAAGAAGGCGTTGGCACTTTGAGCTGCTGGCTCTTTGCGCTGGCACCTCCCAGACCAGCGTCCTGGTGAGACTCCTGTACCCCGCATGTTGTTTTGGGAGACCACTTGGTTCCTTCCACCGTGGCTGCTCCTCGTGCTGTCTCCTTCCCTACTGGAGAGTGGCTCAGCAATCCAGGCAGAGTAAAAGGCAGATCTTGAAGCTGTTCCAGATATTACTGGGGATATTCATATCCTAGTGAAATAAAGTTAAAAATAGAAGAATCGAGAGCAGGCATGATGGAGCAAAGAATTGAGTCTGTGAAACCCTTGAACAGTTTATGGTCATGCCAGACCTTGGCCAGGAGCTCTGATGGGGAATGAGGAAAAGCCGGGGGCAAAAGCAGAGCACAGAGTGTGGCCATAGAGGGCTAGTGTGGCCAATTAATAGGTGTAGGCCACTGACCTATTGTATTTAGGGACTTCACTAGGTTGGGCTCATGAGAGGCTCCTTGTTTTAGAAAGATTATCTCTCAGTCTCTGATACTTCTTTAAATTAAGATGAGTTGGTATTTAGGCCTCAGATCTAAAAATGTAGTGGACCAAGAGGATTGTTTTGTCTGGAGTCACGATAAGGTGGTAGTCCCTGTCCTGCCCTGATGGAAAACGACATTTTTGTTGACATTAACTTAAGAGCTGTCATTTCAAGGTTTCCTATTATAACATCTTGGGAAGGTGACTTTTGGGCTTTTTAAAAAAGCTTATTGTGAATGGTGGTTGTTAATGTTTAAATCAGTGATACCGTTTTGCCTAACCTGTGTGGGCAAAATAATTCAAAAAGTGAATTGGAGTTAGAAAAGAATATGACATTTAGCTAAATCTTATCACTGATGTTGATAACCATTTCAGTTGATCAGGTCATAGATATTTAATATGGGCCATGTTTTACTTAAATCTTAGATTTTATTTTTAACCTGAAGACATTTACTTATGTGGCTGCTTATGAGCTATCTAAGCATAAGGTACTCCTTCATTTTCCCACTTCTACTAATGTTTCATGGAGGATTATTAGTCACACTCTTCAAACGCATTTGGACATCAGTGACTTTATTATCATTAGAATGGTAACTTTTTGAGTCCTGTTATCGTTTTCTAGTTCATATATCGTTTTCATTTCCTCCTGTGTCGTTTGAAATATTAAACTTTTTGAATCTATTTATAGTCTAGTGCCTCGGTATTTTATGTTAAGATCCAAGTACCTATTCATATAACATTAGGGTGTTTGGTTTTATTTGTCCAGTGGTTGTATATTTATTATCTCCATTATATAACCACTGGCACTGTTGCTTTTTGAAATGCTCACTTAAAAGATGGTTTTTAATAATAACCAACAGTTGCAATTGTTAGGTCTCATCCTTACAATAACTACTGAATCCGTGTTACATTTCTTGTTTCTTGTTAGGTGATCTTTTAATCATCCAAGCTTACGTTAGCTGAGATGTTCTTTCTAATGTGTCTTTCACAAATGGGGCTTTATTTCAAGATAAAGTTCCACATTTGAGAGACGTTCTATAATTTGACAAATATTGTAAGGACAGCTAGGCCTAAGATGACTCATTTTGAGGGGGATGATTTTGGGGAAAAATTTTTTATACTCTCAGTTTTTTGAATTTGAATTTTCGGTATATAAATTTTAAACAACTTAGTTGAATTCTTATTTTGGGAAAAGAAATTCAGAAATGAAAACATTCTACTTACAGCATTTATATCCTAGATGCTGATGGTGTTTCTTGACCTGGAAAGGGATATGTGTGTTGTTTTAATTGAGTTTAATTAAGTTCATATCCTTTTTGGTGGCTCTGCTTGTTGGTTGTAGGTATTAAGTTCGTACCATTAGTTTTTTTCTCTTTCTTGTAGAACAACTTGCTTTAGGAAAGATCAGCTTTCTATTTTTTCATCTTAGGATCATAGAAGTTTAGGATCATAGAAGTTTAAAGTTATGTATTTGTAAAACACTATAACATTAGCACGAAGATTATTAATAAAGGTTGCTGACAAAGTAAATTTCAATTACTGAGTTTTGAATGTCAGTGAAAAATAGAACTGAATAAAGTTATACAGAATTTCCATAGTATCTGCTTTTCTTAGAAAAAATCTGGTTGACAAACGAAACTGGGTCACCGTGCACATGGAGGGGCTATTTGTCCATCCTCTCGTTCATCAAGCAGTAGGCCCTCCCGCAGGGATGGAATTCAGCCTTCTCTGCTGCTCCTTCCCAGCCCACCCCGCACTCAGTGCAGGACCAGTGGAGCCCCTTTTGAACCACTTCTTCCACTTATATCTCTTTTGTGTATTATAGCATAGACCATACCAATATTATGATGATAACGTATCATACAGGACGAGGAGGTCCGCCTTCTCTATCAAACTGTGAGCACACTGAGTGCTGCAGGGACTTTCTTGTTTATCTTTGGCTACCAGCCATCCAGCTCCAGCCGAGCACTTAGTCCACACTCAGATCAAGTTGTGGAATCAGTGTTTAAATGCTGCACATTCTCTCACATTGTGGAGTTTATAGGTTAATGGGGGAGAATGATAAGAGAAATTAACTCCACTAGAATGAAATAAGTACTAATGGGGATGTGCATGAAGAGCTTTGAAGACAGAGGAGGAAATTGTACTAAAACTTGAAGATTTTATCATGTAGGTGCTGGAGCAGCTGTGAAACATTTGAAGCATGAGAGGACTTAGTAGAAATAAAATCTGGATTATATCAGGGCACTTTATAACAAGGCCTCTGTGTATTCACAACACCCTGGTGAGGGGGGGCCTGGCTGACCCAGTTGGTAGAGCATGCAACGCTTGATCTTGGGGTCTTAAGTTCAAGCCCCACCTTGGGCGTGGAGCCTACTTTAAAAACAAAGAAAGAAAACAGCAACACACCCTGGTTAGTAGTTCAACAGACAAAAACTATATGTCTCAGTTCTACATGTTAAATGCAAAAACTAGTAATTTTCTTTAAAGTTTAGGAATTAACAGAAATGATAAATGAACATGGCTCAGTTTTTCTTGGCAGTGAAGAAAATATATTTTCAGTTATCCTTTAGGAATGTTTCAGGTTTGGTTCATTAGAACAGTGAGACTCTGCTGGGATTATATGGTTTCTTATGCCACCGTGACAGGTGCTGTCCTTTGCTTTGGCTACTTCCCTACAGATGTAACACTTTCATCCCTTTGCATTCAGTAGTGTCTCCCTGAGGAACTGAGGATGTGTTTCTTTGGTTACTTTTTTTTTGCAATGCAAAGTTTCATTATTTGCTTTTTTGCCTGTAAGTGAAAGATTATAGCAGATGGTATCTGCATATCCTGCATATGAGTTTTTGAAGAGTAAATAAAGAAAGAATTTTAAGCGGCAGCTTAATTTTTTTTCATTGTGGAATTGAATTTAGGGAAGCCAGCAGGTGGCAGTATGACGTATAACATGAAAGGGTTTCAAAGAGTATAGAAGGCTCCTTTCCATTTGAACAGATGTTATTTGCATTGTAGGGAATTCACATTACCTTATAGTCCATCAGAACATTTTTTTGTATTGTCACTTTGATGAATATATTATAATTATTATTTTGTGGGATATTCTTTTATGTAGTACATTTTTTAAAAGTTGAGGTTTTGCTGATGCCAAGGGAATTTTCAGGAATTTGGAGAGGGAAGCTTCATAATTCTCTCACTGCCGGCTTCTATAGTAGGAGCAGCTGTTGTATAAAGCCAGGAAATAAAGACAGGGTAGGGGTTCCTGGCATGTCACTACCCTTCCAGAGGTGGGGAAGTAGGAATAATAATTCGGTTACCTGTTATTGATAGCATTTCAGCCATGCAAGAATGTGGCTGGTTTTCATGGTAATATTAAGATATCTTACTTAGTGAATTAAATATTACCAAAAATAATAAAAATATTGATTGACAAGTTTGCTATATATTTAGAAGGAAGAATAATAAGGTATTTCATTGATTCCCATTAATATTCAACTATGGCATTAACCTGTCATTAAGTATGTTTCTGTATTCCTCTCCTAGGGTTCTCTAAATGCCATGTGGTATGCGGAGGTTGGTTGCTTTTGAGTTTTTAAAACCTGTAATAATGCATAGAGTACTTGTGTAATTTCAGTTGAAATAAGAATTAGGTGTCAATATTTTTCTTAGTTGCTGCAAATTCTTCCTGCCTGCTGGCCTGAAGTAAAATAACTGCATTGTGCTTTAGCTTGACTGTTTTAATTTCTGCTTAAAATGCACACAGTCTGATGAACGTTTGTGGCTTTTTTTTTTTTTTTTTTTTTTTTTTTTGCCTTTCTTTCTCCTTGGTCTCTGGCTGTATTTGTGCAGTATCTTTGGTAAGCTACATGGTGGTATTTGCAAAGGAGTATTTAAAGTAATACACAGTGTCTCAACTGTCCTGCATAGGTTAAAGAACTCCGAGAGAAGGCTGAATTTTATAGGAAACGAGTTCAAGGAACACATTTTTCTCGGGACCATCTGAATCAGCTTCTGTCTGATAACAACTGCTGTTGGGATGTCTCCTCAACCACAAGCTCAGAAGGAACCATTAGTAGTAACATTAGAGCTCTAGATCTTGCCGGGTAAGATATGTTCTTTGTGGATGGTGAGAAAGTATATTGTAGCTTAGGTAGATCACGGAATTCTATAGGTAAATGACATGACCCCTCAAAATTTGTCTTCCGGTTAAATGGAGATATGCCAGCCATTTATTACATTTCATTATTACTAGTTTATTCTCTGTGAGAAGTAAAGCTGTGTGTAAATAATACATAATGTAAATCTGGAAGGCTGGATTTTATATTTTTTAACAAGAGTAGAATAGGGATGATTATACAGTAGATGGAAAAGAACTTTAGAAAGTAACAGGAAGGAAAGGTACCAACAATAAAAACCTAGACAACATAAGCTAGTAGTACATCCTATAATCATTCATTAATGGATTTCTGTGGTTAATACGACACTTAGGCCCTGATTCTATGGGCAAAGTCTCTGCTCTTTTGGGTTTTAAAGTGAAAATTATTTAACTACTTATAAAAGAAATAGCATATTGATTTTTGGCAAATAAAATCATTTTTAGTTATTATAGTAATATAATTATATATGCCAAATTGAACTGTAAGTTCTAATTATGTGACATCCTCTTTAAAAATTCATTACAAAATCCATTCTGTAAGAATGTCTTGAAAACACTTATCAATCTGAAGTATAAAATTGGAATCAGTTTGCTTGATCTACAAATGCACTTGAATTTGTGCATAAACTGTAACTGAGTAACCGAACAAGTTAGACCATGTGCAGTCCTTGCTTGTGTGTGTAAATGCCAGTCAAGGGAACACATGTGACTGTTGTCAGCAGCGGGACAGACACGCCTGTGTGAAGGTGGAAGTAAGAGAAGATACGTAGATTTTATTTTGGAGTATTGTACTTTATTTTTAAAATTTGTCTACTTTTTAAATGTTTTTATTTTTATTTTTGAGGGAGAGCGTGTACAAGCAGGGGAGGGGCAGAGTGAGGGAGACAAAGGATCTGAAGCAGGCTCTGCACGGACAGCAGAGAGTCCGATGCAGGGCTCGAACTCATGAACTATGAGATCGTGATGACCTGAGCAGAAGTCGGACACTCAGCCGACTGAGCCACCCAGGTGCCCATGGAGTATTTTAATAGAAAGTCCGAATTGTAGTTTTAGTTTATTATACTGTCAAATGAACTCTTAATTAGGTTTCTTTCTTCAGTATCTGGGCAAGGTGGTGCCTGTGGGACATAAAGTTGTGAACGCTGGAGGGGAATGACAGACTCACTGAAATGAGTATAAACTTAGAAACCTCGAACTCCAGTTTGACACTTTTGTTCTGCAGAGATCCTACAAGCCATAAGACTTTGCAGAAATGTCCTCCTACAACACTGGAAGAGAAAAAGCCTGCCTTGGAAGAGCAGCCGCAGAAAACTACCACAGAGAAATTGGGCGTGTCAGATGCTCCCACCCTGCCCGTTAGAAGGCGCCTGGCGTGGGACGCAGAGAACACAGATGAAGGGGTGCAGAAACAGCCGAGAGAGGAGGAGGAGGAAGAAACAGAAAAGGACAGGCAGGTTCATAACGGAGAGCTGGAGAAGGTCACAGTACCGGAAGAATCTAAGGCAGAAAAGATCAAAGAAGGGTGAGAGTTTTAAATTAATCAGTATATGGAAGCATTATGCACACGGTTAATATTTTTTTGTTTTGTCACCAAGTACAGTGGTTTACACTCTTGGTTTTATGACTAATAAAGAGCAGATGTTACTTTAATGTCACAAAGCAGACATTTCAATTTATAATTTGATTCACTCAGGTATTTGAGTCACCAGTAATTGGTAGTTGAACACTTGAACACTGAGCTACTTGGGGAGGAAGCAGTTAGGGTTGTTTTCATTTATGTCCCACTAATTATGATTTGGCAGATTTGTAAATATGTCTGAGGGAATGGCTTTCTTTGTGATTTAAGAAAATAGCTGATATTCTTTAATATCAAATGTTTCACCAAAAAAGAAAGATAATGTTTTGTAATGTTAAAATAAGTGATATCTGCAAATAGCTAATTGTTGCTGATTTATGTGTTAATTGCTTTGGGGAGTGGTTCTCTACCACTGATAATGGTGCTTTTTGTCCATCATCCAAATCCCTTATCATTCTGTCATGAGTTTTGCACCTAATGGGAAACTTAGGAGCTGATTTAACGGAAGAATTCTCTGGTCTATTGCTGCTGACTTGCAGTGACCTTCCGTCTTTTCCGATATTCAGTCCCTCTTAACGGCATGTGTTTTTAGAAACAGATGACCCTATAAATTTTGTTTTATTATTGCATAATAATGACAAAATATTTTTAATCCTGTTTGCTGGGGGGAAATGCATCATAGTAGATTGTTTGGATTTGTAGGTCAGATTCTTCTGTATCTTCTGGAAAAGGAGGCAGGCTTCCTACTCCAAAGCTGAGAGAACTTGGTGGAATCCAGAGGACTCATCATGATCTCACCACTCCAGCTGTTGGTAATGGGCAAACGCTGTAGTTCTTATCTTACCTGCTTTTTCTGCATGAGAATTTAGTTTGAGACTTGTCGTCTTCTGCATTTTTCTAGGTGGTGCTGTTCTAGTGTCTCCATCTAAAGTGAGGCCTCCAGTCCCAGAACAAAGGAAAAGAGTGTCCTCTCAGGATGGCTTAGAAACTGCAAAGAATGATTTTAGGAAGGTAAATATTTATATCTTGGGGGGAAAATATCTTTTTAGGAAGCGATTATTTTAGTCACATGTAACGAATGAACGATAGGTTCAGATTTTAGAAAATTCTGTGCAGTGTATGTGGAGGTGATGCTATTAATGTGCTTTTATTAAGGCAAAGGCCTTGAATTATTTTTTTCTGGTAGTGGCATTCTACTTCTGCTGATGTGTTTTTAAATCTTGTCAAATGTGACTCAGCAAGAAGAGAGAAAAGAGAAACAGTACTTTTTATTGAGCATCTACTGGGTGGCAGTTGTATTTCAGGTATGTTCCAGGCACTGTTTTAGCACTGGAGATACAACAGTGAAAGAAGCAGGTGCAAATTCTGACCCTTATTGAACTTCTATTCTAGTGGAGGAGAGAGACAATAAACAGGATAACTAGGTAAAATACAGAGTATTTTAGACAGTGGTAAGTACTAAAGAGGAAAGTAAAGCAGGGGAAGTGAATACAAAGTAGCCAGGGAAGTTCTTGCTGAGAGGGTGACATTGAGAAGAATCTGAAGGTGGTGAGAGATGGACCCATATGCATATGTAGGCAGGCATTCTAGGCAAAAAGAACGCAAGTGCAAAGTCCCTGAGGTGATCAGGTGCCCGATTTCTTGAGGACTGGCCAGAAAGTGAGTGTGGCTAAAGCAGAGAGCCAGAGAGAGTGTGGGGAATAAGTTAGGAGGCATCATGGGGGGACTAAACTGTGTAGGGCCTTGTACTTCATAGCAAAGACTTTGAATTTTATTCTGAATGAAATCGGAAGTCTTTGGAGGGGCAGAGAAGTGATATGTTTTGACTTAGGTTTTTCCATGTTACTCTGGCTACTGTTTGGGAACAGACAGTAGGAATGCAAGAGCAGGGGCCTGAGCCTACATAGGAGTCAATTACAATATCCAAGCAAGAGGTGATGGTCGTTTGGTTCATATGGGTAGCGGTGGAGGTCATGTGATGAAGTCTGATTCTGGATGTGCATTGAAGGTATAGTTGACAACATTTGCTGATGGTTAAGATATGGCATGGGAGAAAGACAGAAATCAAGGATTCAAGATTTTTGGCCTGTGCAGTAAGGATGAAGTTGCTGTTTACCTGAGATGGGGAGGACAGTGTAAGGAAAAGGTTTGTCAGGGAAGATGAAGAGTTCTGTTTTGGACATGTTACATTTGAGAAGCTTATTACAGGTACAAGTAGACGCGTTGAATAGGGAGTTGACTTTCTGAGTTTGAGGTGTGGAGGACAGGTTGGGCTGCGGATACAGATTCGAGTGTCTATTGTACAGGTGCACAGGTATGTGAGGGCTTGAGACTGGGGGAGGTCATCAGGGGAGGTGGGTATAGAGAGGGAAGAGTATGTGTAGACAGGTGTCAGCCCTGGTTTTTTGATACTGGGAAGTTGAGGAGTAACCAGCAAAGAGAATGATAAGGAATAGCCAGTGAGGTGGTGAAATAGAAGACTGTGGTATCTGGAAGGTGTCAAGGAGGAGGGAGTGTCAGTGCTACTGATGGATCAATAAGATATGAGAACTGATGATTGGATTTAGCAACATGGATGTTATTGGTGACCTTGACAAAGGGCAGTTTTGATGGTGGGGAGGGATAATTGCCTAAATGCAAGTGAGTTCAAGAGAAAGGAGAGGAGATGAATTGGAGGCAGTCATCACAGACAAGTCTTTAAAGAGTCCTTTCCGTGAAGGGGAGCAGAGTAACAAATGGCAGCTGGGAGTGAGGTCAAGATGAAGGAGATAACAGCACATTTATGTGTTGACAAGAATGGTTTTAAAGAGAGAGAAAAATGATGCAGGCCCAGCCAGCAACTTTGCCCCTGTGCACTCAGTGCCGAGCACCACTTGAGATGTTCCATGGGATCTGGGGGAGAAGTGGAAGGGTTGATTGTAGGCACTCTGACAGCTCCTTCATTGTTACAGAGGAGGCAGAATATGTGAGCACTGCTAATAAAATAGGGAGATGTGCTGGGAGCTTCGGGAAAGTCTCTTCGGATTTTTTCTTGGTGGCACATGAAGAAAGATCCTCGCCAAGAACGAGGCTGGGGATGAAGAGGTTGGAGGTTTGAGTAAAGAAAAGAAATCATGAAGTAGTCTTTTCAGAGAGTGGGAGAGGGAGTGGGCCAGGGAAATGTGAGATAACACAGGGTAACATAAAGGGCCCATTTTAGGCTAGTGGTCACAGATTTGACGTAAGAGCAGTCGTGATGGGTTGTGTGTTTTTCTCCAGCCATGTTTGGTTACAGAGGTGCAGGATAAGTTAGAGAGTTGAATTTAACTGGGGTTCATGTTTTGTAAAGGGAGTAAGACAAAATGAGAAAGGGGGTCAGGGAGTTAAGGTACATGTAGGGGAGTGATTATAATGATTGGCCATGGAAGTTGAGTTGGTTAAGCAGGAAAAATAGGACTTGGGAAGGTAAGGCACAGTGTAGAAGTGACAGGATCAATGGAAGGTCTTGGCCAACTTAAGGACTTGTTGAAATTGGAGTACCTAGAGGGAGTAGTTTTAAAGTCACGAGGTGGTAGTCAGAAATTGGAATTGTGGAGAGGTTGCAGTTAGCAGTAATGACAAGGCTTAACATATAATCGTGGGAGTAAGTGGCTGAAGTAGGATAGAGAACATTTAGAGAAGAGGTTGCATTTCTCCAGGGGATTTTGCTGATGGCTGTTCATGAATTTTCAGAGGTGTGGCCCAGGGGAAACTTTTTAGGTGTTGGGGAGAGGTAGGAAAGGGGATCAGAGCCCAGTTGTCCCCAAAGCCCAGTACCGAAGTCACCTCATAGCAGGTACCCGTTAAATAGGTGTTGACTGAGTATTATTAGAATGACAGAATCTAAACCAATGTGTATACGTTGGTTTATGACAAAAGGAATACAGAGGACTGATCGGAATCAGATATTAAGAATCTCTTGCCCCCACGGGCTGTTCTGCACCCCCAGCACTCCCTCTCATCCCAGGATCCAGGTTGCTACCTGGAAGGTGTGAGCTTCTAGGCAGCTTTGCCCACACAGAGTTGACTACCCTCAGCTAAAAAGAGTAGCCTTAATCCATATTGGCAGCTGGATTTATATGTAACATTTTCATTTATTGTGGAATTAATTATTGAATAGTTAAATTAATGAAATAGAATGATAACTGCTCTTTAATGCCAATTTCCACCTCATCATGCACACAATACAGTTTCCAATAAATCCTTTCCAGTATTCAATTTCCCTCAATATCATTGTACATCTTTTTAATTATAAGATTCAAAATATGTTTATAATATCCAGAAATTTTTTTAATATTAACTTTTAGTGACATTTAATTGTGGGAAGGTTATGGGGCAGCAGCAATTTGGGTAACTTAAAAACATGGGGATGATCATAATAGCTAGCATTAACTGAGTGGTTAACTATGTTCTAGGCCTTGTGCTAAGTACTGTACATATATTAACTTAAGTCTTCATAATGACTCCAGGAGGTTGGTATTGTTATTATTCTCATTTAGATGAAACTGGGGAAACACAGCTGCCAATTGGTGGGGCAGAATTTAGTCCCAGGCAGTCTGTCCTCAGAGCCCACATTTTTAACTCCTAAATAACACTGTCTCACAAAATTCAGAGGAGAATTCTCATGGTATTGGTTTAATTGTCAAGGACCATTTTAACATCTTATAAATGATATTAAAAAGCTAAGTGTGGGGGCGCCTGGGTGGCGCAGTCAGTTAAGCGTCCGACTTCAGCCAGGTCACGATCTCGCGCTCCGTGAGTTCGAGCCCCGCGTCGGGCTCTGGGCTGATGGCTCGGAGCCTGGAGCCTGTTTCCGATTCTGTGTCTCCCTCTCTCTCTGCCCCTCCCCCATTCATGCTCTGTCTCTCTCTGTCCCAAAAATAAATAAAAACGTTGAAAAAAAAAATTAAAAAAAAAAAAAAAAAAAGCTAAGTGTGTGTTAGCTCACTTTATTCATTCATGCAGCAGATGTTACTTATCTGTTTACCCACATGCAATAAAGATAGTGAACAAAAATAGACATGGGGCGCTCAGTTGGTTAAGCAACCAGCTCTTGATTTTGGTTCAGGTCATGATCTCTCGGTCATGAGATTGAGCCCCGCGTCAGGCTCTGCATTGACAGCATGGAGCCTGCTTTGGATTCTCTCTCTCCTTCTCTCTCTGCCACTCCCCACCGACCCCTCCAAAATAAATCAAGTTAAAAAAAAATAGACATAGTTCATGATCTTACGGAACCTACAGTCTGGCAAAAGAGATACACAGTAATCAAAGAATCATAACCCCCAAAAAAGTAAAATTAAAACTAATAAGAGTTTCAAAGCAGTATATAGTGCTATTTTGAAAGGAATTGGCCTAGTCCTGGAAGTCAGGAAGCTTCTTGGAAATCAAGGATGCTTCTTAAAAGAAGTCATAATTGGGTTGAGATACTGAGGAAGAGGAAGAGTTGACTAGGTAAAAAGGGTGGGGAGGAGAAGTATAGCATATGCCAATATCCTGTGGTGAGAAAGAACATAGGGTTCTAAGAAACAAAGGTAAGTATAGTGTGTGGCAGGGAGTAGGTCAAGATGAATCTGGCAAAAATAGCAATATTGAGAATTTTTATCATTATCTTGAGAGCAATGGGAAGTCATTGAAATATTTTGAAGACCTTTCGGCTGCCATGGAAAGCAAGAGTAGACTAGTTACCCTTAGAAGGTCACTGTGGTAGTCTAGGTAGGACAAGTTGATAGCTTGGACTGAGGAGGGTGGACATTGACAGAAGTGGATGAAACTGAAGAATTGTGAATAAGGGGAGCAAAGTCAAGGCTTGGTGCTGGGTTGGATAATGGTGGATGAGAAACCATGAATGACTTCTAGGTTTCTGCCTTACCTTGTAGGATTGATGGGGGATGCCCTGCACTGAGTAGGAGAACTCTTGACAGAAACCATCTTTGTAGGGAAATATCAGGAATTTCACTTTCACTCACTCAATTTGATATTTAATGTGCTCTATGTGTCACGTACCATTCTGGGATCTGGGGATTCTTTGGTAATCAAGACAAAATCCCTGCCCTCATGGAGCTTACATCTTCATTCTGAGAGATAGATGATTTTTTAAAAAGACAATTTTAGGTAGTATCAATGCTGTGAGTTAAATAAAACCACAAGTAACCTCCAAGTCATGGGTGAGGTTGCTTTACTATCAGGACAGGCTATCAGGACAGGCACCTCTGCGGAGGTGACAATTTAACTAAGAACTGACCAATGAGGTATGTGCCCAGGCAGAGATGAGCAGAGATTGTTTTCCTGTTTGAAGGAACAGTAAGTACAAGTGTGTAGCAGTGAGAGTTTTGAAGACCAGTGTGACTGGGGCCTAAGAGGGAGGAGGAGAGGTAAGAAATGAGATTGGGAAGGGAGGGTGGGTGAGGCGTGGGGGCGTGATTCCTCCCCGGGGAAGCCCTGGGAGGGTGTAAAGCCACACAGCAAATATCTGGTTTACATGATAAAATCACTCTGGCTATTCAGTGCAGAATGGGCTGTATGGGGTGGAGGGGGAAGGAGGCCAATGAGAAGACTTTAGCCTCAAAAACAGATTGCAAAGTCCATTAAATTATACCTGGGAACCCCATGTTACAAATATTGTAAGAGAGATTTCATTCAGGCCTTTTAAGCAATAGTGATACCAATTTGACAGAGATCTCAGATTCTGTGTATATATGTAGAAAAAGAAAAAGTAAATCAGAAAAGAACATTTTTCCTAAGTGATACTTATAGTTAAAAAGGGAAGCAAGAGGAAGATTTGTGGTTTTATTTTAGATCTTGATGTGAAAAATATGTATGTTTGTTGGATAAGACCCCAGGCCTCTCCACTTTGAAGCAGTAAGCTCTCTAATTACAGAAAAAGATACCAAAGGAAAGCATTGTTTTGAATATTGCATCAATAAATCCAAAGTTAGTAAATAAAGGCCACATTAACAAGAAATAATTAGGAAAGTTTGGAACTGTGTTTGATTTTACTGGTTCGCATTCTTCTAATAAGGAAAATTCTACAAGGACTTTTAAGATAGTGATACATTATCATTGTGGAAAATAGAAGATACCAGCTAAAAAAGGAAATCAGTGGTGTTCCATCTACTGTTCAGGGCAGCCATATTGAATTTTTGAGTTCTTTAGGTGTATAGTGTATTTGTTTATTATGCTGTAGGTAAGATTAATCTATTTTTTTCCTCACTTGGCAATGAATTAACATATTTACATATCATTAAATATTATGATCTAATTTTTAATAGCAACGGGATATGCAACGTATAGTTATGCAGGCTGTTTATTATTGAAAGCAATTTTTAAAAAATTAGATGCCTATAGTTATTAATTTTTCTGTTTTGAAAAAGTGCTGTAAAGAAATCCGTCCAGCTACATTTTTGTTCATTTTATCTCTTTTTGTATAAATACTCTCCAAGTATTATTGTGTGACCAAAGAACACAAAATTTTAAGGCTTTTTCTATGTTTTGCCAGCAACCTGGGAAGATTATACTCCCAGGACTCTAGGAGAGTGCCGGTGTTTCCATAGTCTTGTCAGCATCAGTATTATAGTGTGTTTTTGACAAAAAAAAATTTAATCTTTGTAATTTGGTAAGTGAAAAATTAGTACCTTGGTGCTTTTAGTTTGAAATTATTTGATTACTAGTGAGGTAGGGTATTTTTGCTATTTGTAATTTGTCTATATGAATTGCTTATGTATATCCCTTTTCTACTTTTTAATTGTCTTTTTCTTACTACTTTTAAAGAAATATCTATGTAGCAATGGTCATTCATTGTCAATATATAGGTTGTATATGTTCCTCAAATTTGTGATTAAAATTTTTTTTAATGTTTATATATTTTTATATAGCTAAATATATTTACCAATATTGTTTGTTAGGCATGTACAATCTTCCTCACATGGAGGTTACATAGATTTTTTTCATAATTTCTCCTACTGCTTTTGTGGTTATATTTTTTGTGTATTTAAAGATTTTACTTATTATATACAGACACATATATGTATCTTTTTTTTTTTTTTTAATCACTTAGAAAGAAAGTCGTGCTATAGCCCTCCTGACTTCTCCAGCTGCTGGTATAAAAACAGTTGATCCCTTGCCTTTGAGGGAAGATTCTGAAATCAGTATCCCCAGACGTGCTGAGGTAGCTCTTCCAGTTTCAAAAATTCCAGAATATCCAGCAAACACACCTGGGCAGTCTCCTTCCCCACCCTGTGCTCCGTCCTACTGGCATCCCTCTCGTCGAATTCAGGGCTCTCTCAGAGATCCAGAATTTCAACATAATGGTAATTATTTTGGTTTTTATTTTTTTGTCTTTTAAAACAAAAATGTTATCCTGATGGGTACAAAGGCTTAAGTATGTACTGTATGTTAATAACTTGTGTTTATTATCTAGGGTTTTTTAGTTAATGTAACACATTTCTTTCAATAGGAAAAGTCCCGGGGCGCCTGGGTGGCTCAGTCGGTTAAGCGGCCGACTTCGGCTCAGGTCATGATCTCGCAGTCCGTGAGTTCAAGCCCTGCGTCGGGCTCTGTGCTGACAGCTTAGAGCCTGGAGCCTGCTTCGGATTCTGGGTCTCCCTCTCTCTGACCGTCCTTCATTCATGCTGTGTCTCTCTCTGTCTCAAAAATAAATAAACGTTAAAAAAAAAATTTAAATAGGAAAAGTTCCATCTCATCTTTGGAACACCGAGCTGTGCGGCAACCCCAGTACTTTTGTAGCAGCGTGAGGTTTCCTCCAAGTGCTGTCCTTTCCACAATAGGCAGCCTACTAGATGCCAGTAGCACCGCTTCCCCTGGTGTGACAACTGAACGTGTCTTCAGACATTGCCAAACATTGCCTAGATGAGAATTCAAGGTCATAAATTGGTTTCCTTTAGTTTTATTAGGCATTGCTCTGCTCTTTTCTAGCTTCCACTTTTACTGTTGAAAAGTCTTAATGCTCTTATTTTATTAAAAAATGTTTTTAAATGTTTATTTATTTTTGAAAGAGAGAGAGAGAGAGAGAGTTAGTGAGGAAGGGGCAAAGAGAGAGGGAGACACAGAATCCAAAACAGGCTCCAGGCTCTGAGCTGTCAGCACAGAGCCCAACGTGGGGCTTGAACCCACAAACCATGAGATCATGACCCGAGCTGAAGTCGGACACTCAACCAACAGTGCCACCCAGGTGCCCCAGTGCTCTTTTTATTTTTGATCATTGTATATGGATTTTTTGCCCCCTGGCATCTTTGGGGATCTTCCTTTTACCCTTAATGCTCTGAAATTTTAAAGCAGGTGTCTTCGTTTTGCTAGTACTCAGTCAACTTTTTCAGTCGGGGAGCCTGGTTCCTCACTTTCTTGAATTATTTCATCAGTAATTTCTTCCCCTCCGTGTTCTGATTCCTGTTTTTCTTTATCTTACCTTTCCTATTTTCCATCTCTGTCTTTTTATTTTAATTTGAGAGGGTTACTATTTATTTTTCACCCCTTCTGCGTTTTAAGAAATTTTTGCTATATTTTTTAATTTCTAAGAATTTTTTAACTGTATATTCCTTTTATGTAGCATTCTGTTCTTATTTTATGGATGTCATGTTTTATCTTTTTGAAAAGATAAATGATATATATAATTGTCCTGTTTTGAATATGGTACCCTTGCCCTCAGTTGAACCTGGTGTTCTTCAGTCAGAGCAGCTCTGATAAACCTTTAGAGAGGAAACCTCCATTCCTCTCTTGTGAGAAAGGTCAGTTACCCAGCTGTGGAAATATAAAGAAGGATTTGGCAGACTAATTGTTTTGTAAAAGACTTCAACCAGTTTCCTGGTTCAGGCTTATCTTCACTCCAACTTTCAGGGGTACTTAGTACTCCTAAACTTGAGCTAGGTTAGGAGAACAAATTGGTTGCTTCTTGGATTCTTTCTTCTGCTGACTTGGGATTCAGCTTAGGTATGATGGTAACAAACACACTGCTTTTCTAAGCTTTTTTTTTTTTTTTTTTTTTTTTGAGAGGGAGAGAGAGCATGGAAGCAGGGGAAAGAGGGAGAGAGAGAATCTTAAACAGGCTTCACACAGCCTGAGAGCCTGACTCAGGGCTCAGTCTCACGATTGAAAGACCATGACCTGAGCCAAAATCAAGAGTCATACACTTAACCAACTGAGCCCTGCCGGTGTCTCATATACTCACTGCTTTTCTGTTTGCTTTCCCATTTCCAAAATTTTGTTGTTTTCTTATCTTCATTTTTCTTGTCCTGTGGGTTTAATGTCATTCTTGTAAATGTGTGTTGTCCCATCTCCCATCTTTAAACAGAAGCCTACTGCATTTCTTTAAAGTTAGAATAGATCAATATTATTATTGAAAAGAATTCTAGAAGTTTTCCCATTGCTTGTTTACATATTTGCTAAGCACGTTATAAATTAGTGAATGGCCCATTGATAATAATTTCTATCAAAGATATAAAATTAATAAAAGTTTTGACCATCTTTCACTAAGGTTTTCCTATAAACAAAATATACTGTTACATGGCTCTGAAGGATGATTTTTCTGCCTTTTTTTTTTTTTAAGTGGGAAAAGCAAGGATGAACAATTTCCAGCTGCCTCAGCATGAAGTCTTTAATGATGAAGGTATTTCAATAGTGAAATAACATCAGATCCAAGTATGAGGTTTTATTATATGGTAGTTTATAGTAGATCATGATTTTAACATTGGGTTAGCACTTTATAGTTTACAAAGTACTTCTGCAGATATTATATCATTAGATCCATGAAACCCTGTGAGGGGGGGATAAAGTTATCCCCATTTACAAATGAGTAAACTGGGACTTAAGTCTTGAAAAAAATTTTTAGGGCAAACAGATGATAAGAGAGTGTGCCTTGCATCACACCTGAGGTCAATACTCTTTCTTTTTTTCCATCCTGGCTGGCTGTGGGCTCAGGAATCCAGTCTAGCATTATATGTATCATTTTTTCCAAATGCTCAATTTTCAATTATCAATTATCAAAAAAAATATGATTAGGGCAAATGGACTTTTTTTCTTGTGTTGTATTCATTCTGAAAAATTCATTTGCTTCTAATAGCGGCAGCAGGAATTTTGAATTCCTGATGTGAGCAATCAAAGTTACTATTTTAACTCATTCTAGGATGTATGAAATTATTGAATTTATAAATTTTGGATTTGAAAATAAATTTGAATGAATACTTTATATAAGTTCACATAGGAACTGACTGAAGATTTTCACATTGAAGATTTTTCTCTCCTCTTAACAAACTTGGGACTTTTTTCAGAATTCAGTGAGCCAGAAATCAAGTTATTATGTTTTGAAACATAAATATCCGGACACTTCGAATCCAGTTCTGTTTTCTTCTTAGTGGAAGAATAGCGTTTACAAATAATCTTGTAACATATTTGCTTACTCAGAATGAGGAATTTCTGTCCTAATGAAGGGTAACATATTAAAGTCAAACATTAAGTGAGATTATTTAGGAATTGTGAACATTAAGTACCGTATTAAGGTATGGCATTTTGTTTTTAAAAAGCTTAAAAAAGCTTTTTGCTCAGAAGAGCTGTGCTTTTTAAAGTAGGGCAAGACAGTGTGATGATGAATTGTTTCCAAGTAATACTGAAATCACAGGCCATGTGTTTAGGTAATGTCATTGTGGGATTTCAGGAAGGAAACAATGCTCATTTGACACGAAAGTGTTTGATTTCTCAATATGGTAAACTTGGGAAATTGTGGTGAACTGTCTTGAAAATGTTAATATCTTTTATTTTAATAATTTTTTCTGACAGAGTCAATATTGACATCACAAAGCCTGATGCTTTTAATTTTCTGTTCATGTTATAAAACATTGTGTTTATATTAGAGATACTTTCTGATTATGCTTTTTTCATTGCAGATGAAGACAGATTATCTGAGATTTCTGCTCGCTCTGCAGCTTCTAGTCTCCAGGCTTTTCAAACTCTGGCACGAGCTCAGAAAAGGAAGGAGAATTTCTGGGGCAAAACATAATTACCATATATCTAGTTGAGTTGCCTAACAATCTAGGGAACCATTAGCATAATTTTTCCTTATTGCTTTACTATGTTAAGACTTTTAAAGTATTTGGATTTTTTCCCCACAGTTCCTACTTAAAAAGAGTTGTTTGAGTTTTCAATAGCCAATTCAGTTTCCTTGGAAAATGTTAACACTCGTTCATACAAATTCAACCTAAAGAATTCTTTTGACACCTATCCCAAAGTACAAAGACATAGGTTTCTTCACATGTTCTAACTTTTGTATTAAGGGTAGCTGGTAAAATTGTGAATTTTACCTATCCAGAGGATATTCTAAAAAATAAAGTGAAGTAAAAATTAAGATCTAAATGTGAAGTGTATGTTCCTTGATTATTGGCTCTGTGTATCTTTATAATCTGTAGATGTCATAAGATGAATTTGTTCTTCCCGTAACTTTTGCTGTAGTATTTCTTTTTATTTTAGTACCTTCTATGTGTGGTTGCAGTGTTAAGGCAATTGTACTTTAAATTGAAAATATGAGCTGTATATATTTTTCTTATTTATGTAACAAAGTTTGCTGAGAGAATATGTATATTTTTGATCTTTGTGTGTATTCTTTTTGTATAAGGACTTTGGCTTACATTTGAATAATGTCTCAATTTTGAAAAATTATTTGTATAATGGAGAGTTAAAACTTTGTAGACATTTTGAAATAAAAATTGATCAAGTATTTTAAAAATTTTTGTTTGAAGTGTTTCAAGTGTTTGGCTTCTCCAGAAAGTTATTACACGTAATAAACAATTAGTAATAAACAATTACCTTTTAGAAACGTTTTACTCATAACAAGTTAACTAAATGTTTTACTTCTTTTCCAGCTGTCAGAATGCAACAAAACTGTTCACAATAATTTTGAATGAATATAGGAAAATTACAAGATTTCCAAGGCAGACTCATTTTCAAAAATTTAACACATACTTTTTGACTATTCCTTCATTCATAGAACATGTTCTGTTTTCCTAGTCTTAATCTTGCAAATCATAATATATCTAACTTCCTAAAAAATATGAATTTCATAAATATGACATGTGATGTGTACAAGACTACATATATACAAGGTACCGAAGGTAAAATATATGAAATACTCATGCCCGTTGGTTAGAAAACAAATGAGCAGTTTGTTTTAAAGTACTTACTTTGGTCAAAAGTGCTTTTGCAAATCCTTGATTCACAATAAGTTTATTAAAGATCTTACATTATCAGGTTATAAATAATTGGGCATACACATGTTTGCCTACATCTCACTGACTTTTGTTGATAAAGTTTTTAAGGCACTGAAGATGGAAATAAAAGTTAGAAATTAATGTGTAATTGGATTTTAGAACACAATCATTTGGATTCTATACACATGTACTGAGGCATATTAGCTGTAAAATAAAGTCGGAACATACTGTGTCTCTAGAAGCTTAGGGGTATCATCATCCTCTTCCTCTAAAGTTGGTTAGTTTGGTTGGTTAGGATAGAATTTTCAATGACTGATCACTGATCTACGGTAAAGAAAGGAATGACAGCCAGCTTGCAGGGAATGTGTATCTAACACAGTGCATCTTACCCAAGGTACACATTGTAAAATATGGGTACATCTGTAAGAATAAGTCACACCACATGAACTTGCTCTGTCAGATGTTAGATGGATTAAGGTATGGTTCTGATGAGGCTGAGTTCATTACCCCACTCTGGGTGACAATTTAGCATTGTATTATACTGCTGATTGCCTCTTAAAAGCCCTATACAGTGGCCCTGGGGAGAGAATAGTGTTGAGAGATTAGTCCTGTTTCGTCACTTGTACTGACTGAAAACAGCTTAAAGGATAGGCATTTGAGTTGGTGGGTAAGTAGTTTTAGTTACGTGAGAAATATTCCATGAGATGTGCTGACACTTAGGAGTTGGCATTGTTAATTCAATTTTTAAATCAATTTTATTTTGGCATACTTTTATGTACAATAAACAGCGATCATTAAGAATTTGCAGCTCGAGTTTGGAAAGAACACATACCTCTGTGAAACCACCCTACAACCAAGATATGTTATTACGTTTCCATCGTCCTAAAAATTTCATTTCCCTCTGCAGTTCAATCCTTCCTTCCACCTCTGATCCCAAGGTGATCGCTAATCTGCTGTGTCAGGATGGTTTGCAAGAACTGTGTATACATGGAGCCATCTTTTATATTGCTTTCACTCAGAGTGTTTTTGGAAGTCTTCTATGTTTTGATGTTTATGTTCCCTTTTAATCCCTTCACCCCTGGTGGACTTTTGGATTGTTTGCAGTTTGGGACCATAATGAATAAAGTTGCTATTAATAGTTACAAGTCTTTGTGTGGATATATGCTTTCATTTCTCTGGAAAATAGGTAATTCAGTTTTTGTTCATCCTTCATATAACTTCTACTTTGAGTATACATGCAAATCAATATGTTAAACTGGTGGTTTGGCCTTTTTGTCAAAACTGGTACAAGCTAGACTGGGGAGCAAACATCAGAATCGCAATGGAAGGTTTTTCCAAAATGCACACACCTGTGCCTCTGTTCCTTCTCCCAGCTTCACCCCAGATGCTGAGATTCTCATGCGTCCCTGGTTGAGAACCCAGATAAAAATGCACAAATATGCATATATGGTAGGCTTTGGATGTTCATTTCTGGTATCACTTCTGGATCTCTTTGAAAAGAGTCTGCACTCCATATTAAGAACTTTTGAAAGCTGATTTTGAGGGTTAAGGATAAAGAACATGAGAAATATGCTTAGTACATGGTAGGAAATGTTACCATGATATTTAAGCACAAATATCTTCATTTTTCAGATGGGAAAATGCTATTAGGTAAAATGACTGGGGCAAGACCTCATATCTGGTTAATTAAATCTAGGCATTCTTACTTGAAATCTACCCGTACCGCCTACTTTAGAGAGTTTATGTTAAAATTTTGAGTCCTACTGTGATCACTTCTCTCTCTGATTGATTCACTTAGGAGTTACCTTTTCCATCTTAGAAGATCAATGAAGTGTCTACCTTTCTGGTCAGGAAAAAGGTATGAGGGCATTGAATTATTGTACAAATGGATACAACCAGAATGAAAGTGAGTCAATATGCAAAGCAAGTTTGCCCTTCTATAGAGCAGGGGTGTGGTTGGCTACCCAGGATGCTCAAGGGCGGAGTATCTACCTTTAGTTGTAGACACCCCAAAAATATTTATCCTGACTTTTGGAAGCTTATAAAAGGGACAAATCATCTAAAATGGAAAGTGATCCTAGAATCGTTTACATTTGTTCTTGGAATATGTTTTTGCTACTTTTACATGAATTGGTGATAGTCATGTTGGTGTGCTCAGAGCTCAGTCTTTGTCCAACTGACACCATGACTCACTTTCCCAAGATGAGTCAGTTGTGCAAAGGCTGCTCCAGGCAAAAGCACAATCTCTATCATTGGCCTAGAGTTGTGCTCCGCCAGGCCTGGTCATGTGAGAAGCCAGCCTGCTCCTCTAGCTTACCTCATGGATGAAAAGCAGGCTGGGGGTATTATCTTCAGCTCTGTTCCAGTAGACTTCATGCTAATGGTGATCCTGCACTCTGATTTGACTGTACGGGTCTTTCTCCTAGGGTAAGTAGACGCATAGAAAGACCCAGCCATTTTTCTTCCTCTCAGGTTGAGAGCCAAGCTTCCTATTACCCTATTTCATGTTTCATTTCCCGCTTGGCCCTACAAAGCTCACTAAGGATGGCAGCCTCTCTCAAGCAGAGGGCAGCTCCCCCATAGTACTACCCTTGCTTAATAAGGCAGGTAGGAGGGAAAAAGTAGTCATCCTAAAGGTGGTCTCACCTCTCTTTCACTAAATGCTCCATCCACTAGTCCCATCCATGGTTTCATTATGCTCCAAACCCATATCAGAGTGTGTCCTTGGAAACTGAGTGAGAGATGAGAACTGAGGTGCCTTTGGAAGTCAGAGCATGAGGCCAACAGATAGAGTGATGTTCAGGGAGATTACACCAATTTGAATCGCATAATGGACAATCTAGGTAATGTCGGAAAATTGTTCAGTTTTCCCCCCATTATCATACACCCACTAGTACGTTGGAGCTGGCTTTGGGGCCAATTGTTAAATATTCAGAAATATTGTGAGCAGGTTGTTCGTTTGAATTGGCTCTGGGGGAGTATTTATACCATGGAAATTAGCAAATGCTGTAAATTAGGACTTCCTCCCCACTTACCCACTGGAGGCAGTTTCAAGCCCACCACTGCAACCACTACACCAGTCTCTGATTTTCTTTCCATATCATTTGCCTGATAGAAAGCAGTCTACTTCAGAAAGGAGAAGAAGCAGCCCAAGAGAAGTGGCTATAAACCATTCACACCTTCCTTAGTTAATAAAGACAAATACCACATGATTTCACTTATATGTAGAATTCAAGAAACAAAACAAATAGAAAAAGAGATAAACAAGAAAACAGTCTTAAATACAGAGAACAAACCGGTGGTTGCTAGAGGGAAGGTAGTTGGTGGGGGGGGCGGGGAGGGCAGGGCGAAAGAGATAAAGCAGATTAAGAATACACTTATCTTGGGGCACCTGGGTGGCTCAGTTAAGCGTCCGACTTTGGCTCAGGTCATGATCTCACGGTTCGTGAGTTTAAGCCCTGCATCGGGCTCTGTGCTGACAGCTCAGAGTCTGGATGGAGCTTGCTTTGGATTCTGTGTCTCCCTCTCTCTCTGCTCCTCCCCTGCTCACGCTCTGTCTCTCAAAAATAAATAAACATTAAAAAAATTAAAAAAAAGAATACACTTATCATGATGAGGACTGAGAAATGTGTAGAATTGTTGAGTCATTATACAGCTGAAACTAATATAACACTATGTTAATTATACTCGAATAAAAAATAAAAATACTTTGGTTTGTTTCCTTTCTTGGCTGAAGTCCACGTAGAAAATAAAAATAAACAACAAATAGCAGATTATAGATTGTAGAGGCAGACTA